CCCAGAGCGAGGCGCGCATGACTTGGGCCGAAAGGCAAGGTGCTGGGACCACACCTAACCCTGGGGCCGGGCTCTTGGACGCCGGTAGACTTCTCTGAGTAGCGGAGGAGCGGGGCGCACGTGACGCACCGCGCCCGCCTAGGACTAGCCAGGCAAGAGTGCCCCGCCCCTTCCTCCGTCACGTGTCGGCGCAGCAGCCGGGGCGCCGCGCACGTGAGGCGAGGCGAAAGTGCCCCTGGTCGCGTGTCGGTACAGCAGACGAAGCGGGGCGCACGTGACACGGCCCAACGGCCGCTAAACTGGCATGGCGAGAGAGTGCCCCTCGTCACGTGCGGACGCGGCGTGCAACGCCGAGCGCGTCCGTCCCAACACACCGACGTGTCGGTGCGTCTTGGGTATCACGGCCCACACTGACAATCAATACGGAAGACGGCCGGCCGCCGGCGGACGGCGCTGAATGGCGGCCGCCCGGACCCGGAAGGCATTGGCGCATGCTGCCGCTCATAGGATGCCGGCAGGACCGTATGCCGCCCGCACTCGGGAGACCACGCTGGAAGCGTGCGTCTGTTGTGCCTACTACACGCTGGGTGTGTCCTTTAGAGGCACAGTCGGGTATACGACGATCGTGGGTTGCAATATGATGCAGGGATGGACACGGGCTTATGTTCGCCTGTGGTGCCCTCGCTAGGCAAGGCCTATGGGTTAACACACATTCCCTGCAGTATTGCCTGGTCTGTGAGTAATACTTCATCATCGTTCTACGAGCGTTTTTTTCCTAAACGGAGAACTAATGCGTGCGATCTCTAATTTCATCATAGGGGTCAAATTAGCTCAATATTAAGACCCCGCCCCTGTTATCTCATGCATTAAGTCAGCTACGCCAACGTGGAAAACCACGTTACATAGCTCTGGCCAGCATATATCGGATGCACACTAGTGGATGTCGACAGCTGTGACATGACATACATCTCAGAGGTCAGAGGTCAGAAAAATGAAGGCTGTGGTTCCATTGGCTGTAAGGCTACATCATGACTAAAAAAATCACGTCAGTGGGGAAAAATAGTTTAATAAAGGCCTCTCAAACCTGTGACAAAGATGTAATATAATAAAACCTTGTTCATGCCGAATCTGACCATAACTGTGAACATTTGCAATAGCTTAAATTTGGATGATCTGACCAGGTTGGAGCTACAAAAAACTATTGTAATACCGTTCAGAGGGATACATTTAAGAAAATCAGGCTAGCAAACCTCACAAGAGACCATTTCCTGCGAAAAAAAGCGTTGTTGCCACTTCCGGTCACACTGCCAATGTCACAAAAGTGACATCGATGCAATGTTGCAGATAATACACCGTGTGGCCCAAAACTTCGAAGCTTCACAACATGTGTAAAGCACGTAATCCCAACTGCACAAAAACTTGATCATTCTTAGCTACAACACTTATGTTCTGACTGTTCATCGAATGTGAGTCATTCAAACTCAAGCCAGGCTAGACTTTAATCTCTGCGACCAGAGCTAAGCCTTTGAAACACACGTCATTTAAACTTTAGTGGCCCAATCATGCAGCTCTGGAACGCTGTTGTTCACGTTGATATGACTTATTTAGTTCTCGGTCAAATCGGAGGGCCGAGGCACCGACAGCCGGCCCTCCTTAAACCCCACATGACATATCACAGGCCCACGCGTGTGGATATCTACTGTCCGTTAATGCCTCTCTGATGCAAACATCCCTGCGCTCTTCCCAGCGATAGTTTTCCTATTCCACGCCGTTTTCCGCATTGTCGTAGCAGGCTGACATGACCTGACATGACAAGAGAGGGCTATCAAATGCTTCTTTGAACCTTGTGGCCTGATTTGACTTGTGAAAGGTCATTTTCACCATTGATCAGTCAGACTGAATTCATACAGTTTAACAAGAGTTTTCCAAAGCCAATTGATGTAGGACTCCAGTTTCGTTCGTGTTTAAGATATTAAATGAAGCCTTTTGCCTGACGCTCCTTTGAGGATGAAGGTGAGAAAACACTCGTAAGGCGAGGATTAACAGCATAAGTCGAGAAGTCTGGTGTTTGGAAGACCTGGTGATGTATCTGCATTTAAAAATGGAGAGCAGCGCACGTCATCACGCACTCGTTTATGCAGCACCATCGACTGCGAAGTAATATTACGGCCCGGGGCCGTTGCGCAAGCGGAATTACAACCGAGGGCCAACGAGTGAAAGCCAACAGCGCTCTCCCTACCCCAATCTGGTGCTTTAGATCGGTGACGTAATTTGCATAAACACTGTATCCGATGCAGAAGACGCCATTGTACCTACACCGCTTTCAAAGTTTCGGTTGGAATCAAGGGAATTCGCAGCATACGAACATAATCATGCTTAAACATTCAGATTCATTTGACCTAGAACGGCATTATCTGACTAAAAGAGTAACTGACCTGATTCGATGGCATTAACGGACCTCAGATTCCACAGCATGCACCAGCTGTGCGCTGGTAACTAGCTCTGGGACAAAATGGGAAGCTGATGCCAAACAGTATGCCACGTCTTACTAGGCGTGCTAGCGAGGATTACCACCTATGTGAGCGAGGGCTACATCAGAAGGCTTTTTGGAACACGTGCAGCCCCTGTCAGAGGATAAGCAGGATGATCCTTTCCATCCTCCACAAAGAGAAGGTAAATCACAGCCCCTATGCACGGGATGACCTCAACCAAGATGACAACGATTTGAATTTTTATTCCTGCCCTCTGCTCCTGGAATATTCAACAGACATTGACCACAAGCGAGCGCCATCATTTCTCAGATTTAGGTGAAAGTTCATCCTTTACGATGCGGCGTTCACGACTAGCTCTAAAATCATCCGTGCGAGCCAAGGAATGATATCTGGGCTGTAATATAGAACGAATTTCCACGTAACCGTGCACATATACATCTAATGGTCGGCATTCCATACAAAACAGCCAAAAATTGTTTTACAAAGCAAAAAAAACTGCGTACGTTGCAAATCAGACCCCTTAAAAATATGAATAAGGAATTATTCAATTTTGCCCTCCACATTCAGTGCCATGCAACTACAAATCCGGTAAATCGGTGAAACTGGAAAGATTTAGCGGGCGCAGACGAAAACACGGTGAAATTTACTTCAGATGCAGTTTGTTTCGATCACGCAGCGTTACGAAAAGCGATGACGGTAAATACGCACCAGTGTTCTGCTTAGAACGGATAAGAAAAATCGGAAACACTCGATGGAAAAACCTGAAAGATGAATTCAGTCAAAAGATGTGCATTTGGTAAAAAACGTGCTGCTGACTTCTGGTTTATCTGGTGGAATACGATGGTGACAGCTTACATGTATAATGAGCAGATAAAAGAGCAAAGAAGTTTGCCTAGCAGTCATTAATAACGTAGCCCATTCTCAGAACTCTCTCAGCAAATAGTTGATTGGAATCTCGTGTGGAAGCGGTCCATCAGTTGTCCTTTGATGCGTCCGCCTTTCATGTATTTTGCATGCTTAAACATAAAATAATAAAAAACATACTCTAAAGACAGCCATTTCTATATTAAGGACGTCACCTGTTTCGGTGAAGTGGTAGCTATCAGTTACATACCCTTCTGCAGAAAGATAATCGCTTTATCGAAATACTGCATTCTGCGGGGATTCAATGCCACATTATTTTTCGGCTGAAATATTATGATACGAATCATGGACCAAGATGGCCTTTGCTCCGACCTAATCCCTCAAAATGGTCAGGGTAGTAACATTGTTCTACATACAGTCACGTTACCATCGTTGACGCAATTTCATTTGCAGGTAGTAGATGGCGGCGTAATACGGTACTTCGGTAGCAATTGTAAGCAGCTGAGCGCAGCACCGTGGCGCTCGGAACAACCCTCAATCACCGAAACCGGTAGAGACGAAAAAGGGTCCCAGTTGAACCATGCGTCGCAGAGCCACCGGTGGCTGCAACTGTCACTAGCCACCAATCACGACCGTACACTCCGCTGGACAGACGGCGGACAGGGGCGACGTTAGACAGGCGGCGGATTGGAAGGGATCGGGCAGACAGCGGACTGGGACAAGTCGGACAGATGGCAGACACTGAGAGATCGGCACACGGCAGACAAAGACGGCGGACTGGGACAGATCGGACAGATGACAGACAGAGATCGGCCCACGGTAGACAAAGACGGCGGACTGGGACAGATCAGACAGATGGCAGTCACTGAGAGATCGGCACACGGCAGACAAAGACGGCGGACTGGGACAGATCAGACAGATGGCAGACACTGAGAGACCGGCACACGGCAGACGAAGACGGCGGACTGGGACAGATCGGACAGGTGGCAGACACTGAGAGATCGGCACACGGCAGACAAAGACGGCGGACTGGGACAGATCGGACAGATGGCACACACTGAGAGATCGGCGCACGGCAGACAAAGACGGCGGACTGGGACAGATCAGACAGATGGCAGACACTGAAAGATCGGCGCACGGCAGACAAAGACGGCGGACTGGGACAGATCGGACAGATGGCAGACACCGAGAGATCGGCCCACGGCACACAGAGACTGTGGACAGGGACAGATCAGACAGATGGCAGACACTGAGAGATCGCCACACGGCAGACAGAGAGAGATCAGGCAGACGGCAAAGACTGAGATATCAGGTAGACAGCAGGCAGGACGCGGCCAGCTGGCGGAGGGCGGCTGCCTGGCGCCGGCCAGCCGCGCTCGCTCGGTTGCCGTCTAAACAGAGCGTTGCTTTGTAAGAGCGGGGAGGGGGCAGGACCCGAAAGACTGTAGCCGATTTAGGCTGTTGGGCTGCAGCTGGTAAAAACTGCAGCTGGTAAAGGCTGCAGCTAGTAAAGGCTACAGCTGATTTATAATTCAGCGCAGCATCAAAGCGCGTGAACCGTTGGTAGCGCGACAAGGGCGGCACCATCGACGGGGAAGGGACGAGCTCAGGCAACGCTCTGTTCAGCCCAATGGAACATTTTACCTGGCCGCGGGCATCTGTGCGCCTGCAGGTGGCGAATGTGTTTCGTTGCCAGCTCAATGATCTCCGTCTTCTCGATGCGTCCGCGGCCCTTGCGCTGGTGACAAGACGGCACGAGCCGCGAAAGGTCCGCCAAGCAGTTGTTCATGCGGTCCCGGCGGCGTTTCTCGATGATCCGGTGAGATGTGGGGTCCTGGCGGCGTCAGGAGCGGCGCGTCACACGTTGCCCAGCGCTCACAAATCCGCCCAAGCCATCGGCTGCACAATGTGTTGCTTTGAGTTCTAGCATTTGTATGCCTTGCCATGTCACAGGGGCTCTAGTCATCACAATTCAAAATACTTTTCAGTATGTCAGTGCAAGTGTGGTCGGGGCAGCAACGGCACCGGAATTCTGAGCAGAATATATATATATATATATATATATATATATATATATATATATATATATATATATATATATGTGTCACATGCATCGGCTGAGTCCGGCTGTTGTACTCAGGAAATAAGCTGTTGAATTGGTCGGACGTGTGTTTTTACACCCCAGTTAGTGTTAATTGTGACGTGTATGTGCCCGTTGGAGGCTAACGAAGCTCGTCAAAGACTAGTTGACTATCAGTGATAATGTTGTGTACCGTATGGCATGTGAATGCTTTTTTTACACGAACATATTGTCGTTTAAAGCTAATTCATTTTCCAGCCTATAGTTAATTTCGTTGTCATTCCCATTCTCGACGTGCCTGCTAGGTGCGCACAATTTTTTGGGATTAAGAGCGTGACCTTTTGCTGTGAAACATGTTATGGCAGCCGCTGAAATGAACAGCATAGCTATCATTATTAACTAGCGAGCTGCTATGCTATATACTAAACAAGATCGACAGTTTATCCCAAGAAAAAGTCTATGATGGTACAGTGCTTGCGAGATGTAAGGCATTCGTAAGTAACAAGCTGAAATAGAATGACCTTACAACAATTATAGGTATGATGTTCCTTAACTAAGCTGTCTTTTTGAACGAATTTTCTTGGTAGTTGTGTTGATATTTTAATATCCAACGCTAGTCTGATAAATTAAAACTTCGACGAGGAGGAAATTGGGACGGGCACTGCCTTGCAGTCATAGGGGTGACTCCGTGAAAGCTGGAAACAGGCATGGCCAGAATAAAAGGTTTCTGAACATTCATGATGCCGTCAAGATAATCATCAAGTGTGACAGTGGAACCTCACCGAGATTTGAAGCCCTAAACCTCGCAAAGCTGCAAACAATATCTGTTTCTCGCGATATCTATTTTCTCGCAAAGCCGCATCAATGTCAGTGCCTTAATACGCAAGCAGCAGCTGATGGAGATGAAAATAAGTCAGGTTAAGAAGGTGGCTGATGACAACCAGACAGCAAACGTGTAAACATCCCGGATAGTTGAGGCCGTGTTGCATGCGAAACTCGCAGACGTCAGGGCCGATGCAGTGGGACCCGGCTCGAGACGACCCGAGTTGAATACCCTGCATTCGAAATTCATGTCTTTTTGGTATTTCTTCAATGCATATTTCTGGGAGTTTAGTAATGAAAACGGCCGTATGGTGGAGTTGCTGTGATGTGGATAAGATATCAAGCTTCAAAAGTGAAGCTTCACCCACTGTGATGACAGAATAATTGGGTTAGAATGTAACTTTGGCAACATCACAACTATGTTGCTGTTAGATGTGTATTTGCTATACAATTCGAACACAATTTGATAATGTTGTGTTTTCATTTGGCAAGATTAGGTAATATCTCATGAGTTCGATTCCCCTCATGTTCGCACCTTTGGCAATTTCAATGTGGACATTTCAGGTTTCTAAGTCATGGCTTTTGGGTCAAATAAGGTCAAACAAGGTCGAGTTCCAGGTTTGTCTTCAAAGTACCCCCAGATCCTAGATAACTGTTTCTAAGCAAAATTTCACATTCCCATTTAAGTTCAATGACCTTGTTTGACCTTTTGAGGGTCATGGTGACCTAAATCATACAAGACTGCTCTGAGTTTTGTGTTTGTATAAGCTACAAACACTACACTGGGCAGTATGTTCCTGAGAACAACATGTTGACCTGGGTCAATTCAGGTCAATGGCCTATTCTGACCTCTAAGAAGTCCATGGAAGACGTATAATGCGGTTCCTGTAACCAAAAATTCGAAATGAGCACCAGAAACTATCCCATACAGCAAGCCCTAGGGTAATAAGACCAGTTGATTTTGACCTTGGTATGACCATTATGCCTGACCATAGGGCAATGTTATTTATTCATTCAATTGTTGTGTTGCCTAAGAAAGCATCTCAGAGATGTATGGCCTCGTCTAACACTCCGTTGCTTGCATCGGATTGAACGATT